GAGGAGGAGGGGGAGGAGGAGAGGGAGGAGGAGGAGAGGAGGAGGAGGAGGGGGAGGAGGAGGAGGAGAAGACGGGAAATGAGGGAAGAGAGAGAACGGGGAGGAGTGGGAAGACGGGGAGGAGGAGGAGGAGGAGGAGGAGGAGGAGGAGGAGGAGGAGGAGAAGAAGACGGGAAATGCGGGAAGAGAGAGAACGGGGAGGAGTGGGAAGACTGGAGAGGAGGAGGAGGAGGAGGAGGAGGAGGAGGAGGAGGAGGAGGCGGAAGAAACAGAGGCGGAGCGGCCAGAGGGGGATCCCAAAAGGTGCCCGGAGACCTGCGGAAGTCTCCAGGCTCTGTGCGGGAGCCGGAAGCCTCCAGAGCAGAGGCTCCGGGAGACCCAAGCGGGACATACAAGCCTCGGCTGTCGAGCCTCGATCCTCGAATCCTCGAGGGGAGGGCGGAGAGGAGGTGGGCATCGCGCAGCCATGCTCGACCGGGCCCCAGCCCCGCTGGCGTGGCCTCGGCCCACCTCGCCGACCTGTTCCCCCCCCCTGGGTGGGAATATACATGATCACCCTGCGGCCTTCGCGGCCCCATCTGCGGGGGTGGACTGATGGGGCTGAGGTGCCATGGCCCAGTGGGGATGGGGGTCGATAGTACGTAGAGGAAAAACAACTGCACCAACATAAACTGTTGGAGCTCCGCGCGAAGCTCTGGGAGTTTACTCTCATGGCGCTCTCAAGCCCGTGTCCCGCTTTCAGTACGCGTGTAAATGTTTCGCCCCTGCTGGGGCTCGTCGGGACTCGAGTGAGCATGACAGCAGCATACAAACACACCAGAATGACAAGACCGCGAAATCAGTAAAATTCGATGCGGCATGCGAAACACATGTGAAATTAGAGCATGCTGAGGCGAGGCGGAGGGAGGGAGGGAGGGAAGGCCGTCGGCATCGGTCACTCCTGCTACCTGATGTCTGTCTGGCTTCGTTCGGGGGCAGCGGGGGTGTTGCATAAGAGTTTTATGGTCGGGCCTAGAACAGAAACACATCCTCCAAGAGCATGAGGCCCTCCTCCGGCCGGACGGAATAACATTCGAGGGTAACCTCCCCCAGGATGCACAAGAACATCCAACAAGCACGAAGAACCCTGGGATACCCTCCCCGAACCGACCTTGACCTTCATACCTCGCTCCGACCGCAGGGGCTGCGGGGGGAGGGGGACGTCCAGCATCCCCTCACCTCTCCGAGCTGGGCCACGCATTGCCTTGCTGTCTCCCGCGCGTGCGCGGGCGCTCGATGACACCACGTGCGCTCGCGCTCCCACAGCGGCCTGCCTGAGAACAGAGGAGGGAGGAGGGAGAGGGGGGAAGGGGGGAGGAGGAGGAGGAGGAGAAGGAAGAGGAGGAGGAGGAGGAGGAGGACGAGGAGGAGGAGGAGGTGGAGGAGGAGGACAAAAACAACGAGGAGGAGGAGGAGGAGGAGGAGGAGGAGGAGGAAGAGGAGGAGGAGGAGGAGGAGGAGGAGGAGGAGGAGGAGGGAAGGCGTGGGACCACAGGGTAGGCCTCCTCGTGGCCCGCCGCCTCATCCGGCGGCGGCGCCGACGCCCCCGGCAGGCTGCTCACCTGCAGCAGCGACGCGAGCCACAGCGCCACCGCCGTCGGCGCCGCTGTCGTCATCGTCGTCGTTGTCGCCGCCGCCGCCGTCGTCGGCGTCGTCGTCGTCGTCGTCTTCGTCGTCGTGGTCGTGGTCGTGGTCGTGCTCGTGTGTGGCCGTCGACGTCGATGATGAAAGTGTGAGGCTTTCAAACGTTTATACCCCTGTGGGGGCCTCCTACATGCTCAAGGGATCTCCTGGGGGCCTCTTGCAAAAAACCCGCGGCCCGCCGGAAATTCTGGGACTTCAGGAAACCTGCAAAGAATCTGCGTTGCTCCTATCTTCACCCTCCCCTCCCTCCTTCCCTCCCTCCGTCCCCAATAACTCGCCCCACTCATTGCCTGCCCATCCCAGAGACGGCTCTCCCTCACATGTACACACAAACCTCCACTCATGGCCATGCAGCGACAGCGCAGAGCAACAGCGAACATCGTCGAACACGTCTTTAGAAACGCGGTGAGGTGCCACGGGCGAACGCCGTTCAATATATCTAAATCCTTTGATGCACAAAGGTGTGTAGTATATACACAATACCGCCCAGCGCTGAATCCAAAGATCAATGACATCGGTCATGTGCAAGCACACAGTGTTGATTTGTGTACAAGGTGTACATGTATAGGTATGTATAACGTTTATGTGTATGTATGCACGTACAAATTTGGATCCAAATGCGTATGTTCCATCCCATCCTATTCCTTTCCCTCCACTCCGCTTTGCTCCAAGACTCACGCTTCAAGATAACTACTTCCGCCTACAAGCCCGACCACACCAGATCCGCCCTGGCCATTTCCCAATGTGCTCTCGCATGTGTTGTGGACCTCATGTCCATCCTACATATACAGAATGGTACATGCAAGGCGATCGTGCTGACACACATGCCTCTGGGATGCCACAGCAAGATCACTTGGGTACCACAAAGACAGCCAGCAGGACGCCAGAATGCCCCTTGGGATACGTGCCAAGATCGTGAATGCACCAATCCAACAAGGGCGGAGACGCAGCTGCCGGACCCGTTCTGATGTGGAAGGGGCGAGGGATGCATGGGAGTCCCTCTGGTCGCATCATGGGATTACTTTGCTTCATCACCATACGTGCACATGAACGAACCGTTCCATTCAGTCGGACTGGATGATAAGGATGCGCGGTAAGGATGCAGGGTCCTTGGACGCCGAACCTGAAGCCGAGAGTGCGCTTCCCCCTAAAATCCACGGTTAAGATCTAGGATGGACCGAGAGGCGAGGATGCAAGGGTATATTTGGAACGTTTCTCATCATTATGATGCGGCTTGACTGTAGCTGGTACGAATCGGATCTGCATCGTATGTAATTCCAATCGCACATGCCATGTTTTGCGGCTGGCACGGGAAGCTCGAACAACGTGCAGACCAACTGCTTTCGATTCCCGTGGCAAACAACAACGCCCAAACAAGAATCCGCTCTGAAGCACCGATATCCCACCAGGTCTACGACAGATGGTGAGCAATATTTGCTGCATGCAGTGACAGGTCGATTTGCGCAGATAGCCTGACTTCTTTTCTCCACCGATTCGAATCACAGCAGCGAGTAGACCCCACTTCGAGAACGACGCCTCGAAGCAATGTTCCTTCACAAGGGGGAGCCGCTTTCTGAAAACTAGGGTACTTCAAGACAGGTTCGGCTCTTACCGAACCGTACCCTCGCAACAGAGAATGCGCAGCAACGCGCAGCCTTAGGTCGGGCATGTCGTCCTACAGGCGGATTTCGGAGGAAAAATTGAAAGTAGTCAAACAGATTCAAAAGTAGTATAATATATCAGAGAAATCGTCCCCTGACTATTTTTGTACTATTTTTGAATGTTCCTCCTGTAGAGGGAGATGCCCGAATTGAGCGTAGCCGGTCGTTTCCGCGGGCCCCCTCCGTGCAGGGGGCGAACGAGATGAGGCGGCTGGACGGGGACGGGGGCTTCAATAAAAGGCCCCAGGGACACACAAACAACTAATCACAAATACCAAGATTCTCAACAGTTTCCCATATTTTCTGGGTTTCCGTCTTCCCCCCCCACTTCCCATCATTTCCCATACCCATCGGTCGGAAGAAGAAGGTAGAAACATGAAGTAGGAAGGCGTTGGAAATAGATTGGGTTTCCGCCCGCCTCCTGAAGAGGAGGGAAGAGGGAAACCCACTCGACTCTTGAAGTAGGAAGGCGCTCAAAGTAGATTGGAATCTGGGAATCCAAAAATACCTACTTTCAACGACCGATGGGTATTTCCCTGGGAGTCGACGATTCATTGTGTCTGTGCTTTTTCCTCCCCCTCCTGACTCAACACATGTGGGGCGGGCCCGCCCTGCCCGATTGACGCGCCCCACGTCGGGGGCATCCAAGAGGGGGGCGTCCAAGAGGAGGAGGGGGAGGAGGAGGAGGAGGAGGAGGAGGAGGAGGAGGAGGAGGAGGAGGAAGTGGAGGAGGAGGAGGAGGAGGAGGAGGAGGAGGAGGAGAGGGGGGGGGGCGCAAATCATGGCCGGCGGCACGTGCGCGGCCCAGGGGGGGGGGTCCGGTGACGCACTGAAGCAAGAGGAGCCGCAATGAGATCTGGGGAGATCTCATGGCCCTCGCCATGAGATCTCCCCAGATCCAATCGATAAGTCGGATCCAATCAGGAGAGCCCAGAAGTCGACAAGTCGACTAGTCATCACCGGGAGAGCCCAGAATCCAATCGACAAGTCGGATCGGCGATCGAAATCAATCGGATCGGCGGAAATCGGCAACCAAGTCGAGAGAAGCCGAATCGGCGGAAATCGGCGGGCTGGTAGGCCTCCGTGGAGACACCGGAGCCCAGATCGGACTCCGAAACCGAATCGAGCCGGAATCAGAAGCCATCGGAGTCGAATGGAATCGAATCGGAGGAATCGGAATGATCCCTGGCCATCGCCCCCTCCCTGGCCGCCACCGTCGATGGACCCGCCCCGCCTCCCCCCCCGAGCGGGCCGGCCTGCGAGCCGGGCCCGCGGAGGGAGGAGGGAGGAGGGAGGAGGGAGGAGGGAGGAGGGAGGAGGGAGGAGGGAGGAGGGAGGGAGGGAGGTGGAGGTGGAGGAGGGAGGAGGAGGAGGGAGGAGTGAGGAGGGAGGAGGGAGGAGGGAGGTGGGAGGTGGGCGCCCTGCCCGAGGGGACCCCCCCGGCCCCCCCGCCCGAGCAGGCCAGGGCCGGTGCACCCCGCCCAGGTGGGGAGGCTCGGCGCGGCGAGGAGCAGGAGGTCGCTGCCAGGAAGGGTGCCCCGGGGCCCCAACGTGGCCCCGGCGTGTCGCTGCACTTTGGAGGCCCCTGGGGCCCTCTGGGCCTCGTGAGGGGTGCTCTGGAAGCCGTCGGTGAAGAACCGAACTATATATATATATATAAATATATATATACATATATACATCTACATCTACATCTACATCTACATCTACATCTACATCTACATCTACATCTACATCTACATCTACATCTACATCTACATCTACATCTACATCTACATCTACATCTACATCTACATATATGTATACATACATATATGTATACATATATATATATATATACATATACATATATACACCAATGCTTCTTCCGGAACTTGCACAAGAAAGCCGGTCCTGGTGCATACGAGACCCTGATGTAGACATGTGTCGCTGTTTCCCCGGGGAGCGAATAAAAAAAATATGCACCACACCACCTCGACGTCGTCCCCGACCCTCAAAAAGTCCGGGGTTAAAAACAACCCAACTCTGGTAATGTATATGGTCCAGTTTCTACGCCGGGGCCTCCCTGGAACTCCTGGGGGCACCTTGGCCCGAAGGCACTTCTAGCAACACCCGAAGGCGGGATATTACGCGTGTTGCCCGTTTCGCTGGTCTCCGCAAGTCTTCGCAGGGCAGCTCCGCCAGGTCCCCTTTGGGCGAGAGCAGGACGGCTGCGTGCAGACAAACGGTAGGGCTCTGGACGCCCGAAATGGGTACAGGAAAAATTGGTACAATGCCCAACAACTAATGTTGTCCAAGACCGATAGCGGCCGCTACTTGGGCAGGCGGCTTCATGTTTTTAGCGAACAGCGTCCGCGGCGGCGCGGACAGCGAATCTTGTTCAAAATGAACAGGAACTCTTGTTGGGCATCGTACCCAATCTTTCCGCACCCATTTCGATCGTCCCGAAAAGCTTCTGGGGGCTGCGAAAGCCGGATAAACCATGCGACAACCAGGAACTGCCCAGGCAAACACCTCTGCCACGGCAAGCCTGGACGGGGAGGTGCGTCCAGCCGAACTGGCCCAGTCGAGCCCCGTGCGCTGCGCGCGCCCTAACTGCAAGCCGAAGTACAAATCCCAAGCCAGTAGCGCGGCACGTGCCGCCGGATGCGTCTTGCGATGCGAGGCTGGAGCTGATCGAAATTTAGACTGAACCCATCGCCGATGCATCGAAGATGCGAAGATGATGCGGCGCTATCTTGGAACCCCGCTCGCTCTGAGGGCGCCTGGAACACATGCCGTCGGGGCGTTGACGTAAGAAACGCCAGATAAGGAACGAGGCCCCTTTCCCATAAGTTGAACTTCGACTTCTCAGGAAAAACCTCCAGAAAACCTGGGGCACTGTGTAGAAACACTCAAGGAACACCGAGCCCCTCCCCAACGAAAAGGGTTCCTTCCTCAGCGCCCCGACGGTAAACATCTTCGAAAGAGCGCGTTCTCTGGTCGCTTGGAGAGGGGGGGGTTGGAACCTGACCCCCCCCCCGATGGAAGGGGGAGAGTTCGAACCCCCCTCCCGTTGCCGTGATGAAGGGGGGAAAAGGGGGTTCGAACCCCCCCCTCCTCCCCCCTCTCTCCCTCTCCTCGGGCAGTCGCCGGCGTCGGCGGCGGCTGGCGGCGGCGGCGGGGAGCGTCGATGAAGACGACGACTTCCTTCTCTGGGCCGCCGCCGGCGCCGGAGTGCGTCGACGAGGACGACGGCGGCGACGATGACGACGACGACGACAACGCTCCGCCACCGTGTCTTGGTTTTGAATCCCAATGGATGCCTCTTGTGGTCTCGTCGGCGGGCTCCCGGGGGCCTCTGAGGGGCATTTGTGAAGCCTCCTGGGCGCCTCTTGGGCGTCCCTTGGGGCCTCTCTGAAGTGGTGGTGGTGGTGAACTGTGGTGGTGGTGGTGTCGGCGGTGGTGGTGGTGGTGGTGGTGGTGGTGGCTGTGGCGGTGGTGGTGGTGGTGGTGGTGGCGTGGTGGTTGGTGTTGGTGGTGGTGGTGGTGGTGGTGGAGGTTGTGGTGGTTGCTGTGGCAGGTTGTGGTGGTGGTGGCGGTGGTGGTGGCGGTGGCGGTGGTGGTGGTGCGGTGGTTTCTGGTGGTGGTGGTAGTTGTGGTAGTGGGTTGTGCTGGTGGTGGTGAAGCGGTGGTGAGGTGGTTTGTCGTGGTGGTTGTGGCGGTGGTAGACTGGTTGTAGTGGTGGTGAGTTGTGGCGGTGGTGTTGGCAGTGGTGGTGATTGTGGTGGTGATGGTGGTTTGTTGTTGTGGTGTTGGCGGTGGTGGTGGTGGTGGGAGGTGGCGGTGGTGGGGTGGCTTGTGGTGGTGGTGGCGGTGAATTGTGAGGGTGGTGGTGTTGGCGGTGGTGGTTGTGGTGGTGGTGTGGTGATTTGTTGTGGTGGTGGTGGTTGTGGTTTGTGGTTTGTGGTGGTGGTGGTGGTGTGATGGTAGTTTGTGGCGATGGTGGTGGTGGTGGGTTGTCGTGGTGGTGGTGGTGGTGGTGGTGGCGGTGGTGACGGTGGTGGTGGTTGCGGTGTGGTGGGTGGTGGTGGTGGCGGTGGATGTGGTGGCGGTGGGTTGTGGAGGTGGTGCTGGGTGGTGGTGGTGGTGGTGTGGTGGTTTGTGGTGGTGGTTGTGGGTTGTGCTGCTGGTACTGGTGGTGGTGGTTGTGGCGGTGGTGGTGGTGGTGTGTTAGATTGTGGTGGTGGTGGTGGTGGTAGTTGTGGTGGGTTGTTGTGGTGGTGGTGGCGGTAGCGGTGGTGGCGGTGGTGGTGATGGCGTGGTGGTTTGTGCTGGTGGTGGTGTGGTGGTTTGTGGTGATGGGTTGTGGCGATGGAGGTGGTGTTGGTGGTTTGTGGTGATGGTTGTGGTGGTGGTGTGGTGGTTTGTGGTGGTGGTGGTGGTGGTTGAAGTGGGTTGTGGTGGGTGGTGGTGGTGCTGGTTTTTTTTTGGTGGTGGTGGTGTAGTGGTTTGTGGTGGTGGTGGTGGTTGTGGTGGTGGTGGCATGTGGTGGTTGTGGTGGTTGTGGTGGTGGTGGCGTGGTGGTTTGTGTCGGTGATGGTGGTGGTGGCGTGGCCTTCGGGTCTTCTTGCTACCGTGTTTTGGCTTTGGGTCATAATGCTAACGGATGCCTCTTGTGGTGCGTCCCCGACGTTGCGCTGCGTTCTGCCGTCGGTCCTGCGTCTGGTCATCGTCGCTGCGTTCTGCCGTCGGCGCTGCTGGCTGGCCGCCGCCAGCGCCAGCGCTGGCGCCAGCGCCGAGGGGGGGGAGGTTCGGGAGGGAGGGGGGTTAGGGGGAGGGGAGTCCCCCTGGTTCTGATCGACGGCGCCGAATGTTGGGGGGGGCCCACCCCCGGTTCGAAACGCTCCGCCGAATGTTCCCAAGGCAAGCACCCATGAAATGCGCTCTCCCCCTCACATCTTCCACACCGCCGCCGCCAACCGAGAAAACCGCAGATGACAGCGCGCCCCGGCGCACATCAAACTCCGTGAGCTCCGCCACGGCCGCACGCGCAAAAATCTTCTGACCCGGGTCAATCCAAACCCAGGTCAACCAACTCTTGCAAATCCTGCAATATCCTGCACCCAAACCCGGGTCAATGCGAAGGATCCTGCAGGATCCTGCACCCCAACCCGGGTCAATGCGACCCCGGCCCTGCAGGATCCTGCAAGATCGGGCGTCCTGGCTGACCCCCGGAAGGAGGAGGAGGAGGAGGAGGAGGAGGAGGAGGAGGAAGAGGAGGAGGAGGAGGAGCTGGAACCATCTTGGAGATCATCTAGAGCTCCTCCTCCTCCTCCTCCTCCTCTTCCTCCTCCTCCTCCTCCTCCTTTGCATTGACCCCCGACCTCAAGGCTCCCGGAAGCGGCCGCACGCCCGGCATCGGGGCCGGCGGGCGACGGCCGCCGCGTGCTGGCGCGCTGCCTGGACCACTAGAGTCACTAGAGGCCTCCTGGATGGGGTCGGAGGGCCGCGCCGCAGCGCCAATACAGTCGGGGCGTTGACCTAAGGAACCCTAAACAAGGAACGAGGCCCCTTTCTTCCACAAGTTAAACTTCGACTTCCCATCGAAAACACAGGGAAAACCTGAGGCGAGCTGTGAAACAATCAAGGAACACCGAGCCCCTCCCCAACGAAAAGCGTTCCTTCTTCAAGGCCCCGACTGTACCTCGGCGATGCCTCGGCGATGCATCGGCGATGCGTCTGCGATGCGCCGGCGATGCATCGTCGGCGTCGGTGATGCATCGGCGCCGTCGACGTGGAGCGATTCGGGCTGCACATCGGGGCGCATCGGCGATGCATCGGCGATGCGGCGCGATGCTCGGACCCCATCTACTCGGACCCCATCTGGGAGGCCTAGAACCAATGTTAGCCCGCTCCCCTCCCATTTTTTTTACATTGCACAAGCCACAGCGCCAAGAGCGAAGTGCAGCGGCACCTCGCCGCGCGGACTGCCACCGGCGCCCCAGCGGGGGCAGGCAGAAAAAGGGGTGGGAGGGTGGGACAAGCGGCCCCCCCTGATCCGAAACTGCTGCAGCTGCACAGGGAAAGGGGGAAGAGGCAGAGGGCTGGAAGACAGCACGCGCATGGGGCAAGCAGTGCTAACTTTGCTTCACCTTCGTGAATCAGCGTTAGCCCGCTCCCCTCCCATTCTTTCTACATTGCACAAGCCACAGTGCCAAGAGCGAGGTGCAGCGGCACCTCGCCGCGCGGACTGCCACCGGCGCCCAATGCCAATGCGAAAGAAAATGGCGGTGGCAAGGACACGCAAAACACAATCTAATTCTCCGGGCCACTGTCGTCTATGACGCCCTGCGCGAGCAGGTCAGCTGCCACCTCGTCGCCCGACACGTAAGGCCGGGCGGAGGCAAGGGAACGCCACCCACCACGGGACAGCATGGCCTCAACGCCAGACGCTGCAAACACGTCCCTGGCAGCGCCTCGCCGGATGTCATGGCCGTGCCACTCTTCTGGCCGCGGCACCCCTACGGTGGCCAGGTGTTCGCGAAACTCTCGAGTCCACGACGCCGGCGTGAAACCGCCCAGCGGCGGATTGGCGCTCGCCCGGGCCTGCTCGTCCAGCAACGGGAGCCACGTGTGCAGACAGAGCGCCTCATCCGTGTTGCAAAGGCAAAAGGCAAACGCGGTGCAAAAGTCCTGGCGCCGCTTGCGCCGAATGGGACCGTAAAGGAAACGATTGCCTGCAACTTGTAGCAAACCCCGCCGACACTGGCGAAACAGCTCCGAAGGCATGCGCAACAAGAAATTGTACGTGACTACAGCTATGAGGCACCACCACGCCCGGCCTTGCGAAAAGGCGTGCCGCAACAAAGTCTTCAGAAGCGCTTTGTCGACGCGGTGCCTGGGCAGGCGGGGCGTCCTGCCCTTCACGGTGCCCAGTCGGGCCCCGCGCAAGATGGCGTCGCGGTCGCCCTGCCAGGGCACGCCTGCCACCTGGTGCGCCATGGCCAACGCACTCAGCCACCCGCGCTGCGTGGCGGCACATGCGCACACAGCAGCGACCCTACGTATGTGTTGCACACTACAACCCAGCGGGGGCTCAACTAAGAGCTCAGACGCCCACGCAATCATGCGCAAATGAGATGCGTACGTCGAGAGCGTCGACGGCACTGCCTTGCTCAGGAACCAGTTTTCCACCACCGTGTCCGCTACGCGAAGCAGATCGGCACCCTGAGCGCGGGCCTCGACCATGGCCTGCGACACCTCGCGCGGAGGCGCGCCGTCTGGGTGCCTTGCAGAACACCCTCTATCCCTGCTCAGCGCTGTCATCATGTCGGCATTTTCCTTGCCAACAGCCTGGCAGAAACTGTCCAGCACGCTCCAGTACGTGGACCAGGCCTCGGCGGGGCCACGCGCGCACGCGGCGCCGCCATGGCTAGCTTGCACCCCGCGGGGCGGGGCGCTGGCAGTGCGCGGACAGCTGTGCGCGCTGCCACTGCCACCTGGCGAAGCGGCGCCGGTGTGCCCAGCGGGGCCGCCCCCGGCGCCGCCAGCGACCCAGCGGGGCCCTGGGGCGACCGGCACAGAAGCCAGCGGGGCTGATGCGCACCGCGGTCCGCCCTGAGAGGCCAGCGCGGAGGCGGCCTGGGGCGCCACGCGGGCGGCCGGCTTCAGCCGGGAGCGCCGGACGCCCGGCGGGGAGCGCAGCGGCGCGCACCGATGAAGGCGCGGACCCATGAGCCGCACCGAGCGGGCGGGCGACCGCGCTTACGAGCACGAACCCATACGGCGGCGGCCCTGGACCCGTTCCCCCGCCCAGGGGGGAGGGAGGCAGGAGGGAGATGCCAACGACGACGGCGACCGCGAACCCGACGATCCGACGACGAAGATGACTCCGGCGCCGGCCACGGCGGTTGCCCACTCTGCCCAGGCTCGGAATAGGGCGCCTTCTAAGGATGGACGAGGAGGAGAGGAAGAAGAGGAGGAGGAGGAGGCGGAGGAGGAGGACAAGGAGGAGGGGGAGGAGGAGGAGGAGGAGGAGGAGGAGGAGGAGGAGGAAGGGGGAGGAGGGGGGGGAAGCGGCCGCGGCGGGAGCAGGAGGAGAGGCGGGGAAGGCAGCAGCGGCGGCGGGAGGCAGCAGCGACAGCAGCACGGCCGCCGCAGCAGCGGCGGCAGCGAGCGGGGACGCAACTTTTCCTCCAGCTAGCAGACGTGGTACCTGGACAGGTCCACGGACAAGGTGGGCGTCACTTTGACGACCTTGGCCCCGAGTTTGGCGAGGGCGTTTTCGCCCTCTTCCCGGGACGCTGCGTCCAGAGGGTTGGAATCGGAATGCACGTATTCGAACCAACGCCGGATGTCGCGCCGGCACAATAGCTCGTGCACCGCGCCCACCACGCAGGCAACGTGCGGGGACCCGCTGTACCCACGGACGCACCCAGCGAGCGCTGCTGAATTGTCGCCAAAACAGTAGAGGCAATGCGAACGAATTTTATCGCCCCACACCTCCAAGGCTTTAGCGATCCACCATGTCTTGGCGCCATTAATAGCATGCTGGCGGCAGGGCCCTAATTGATCGAGCACCTGGGCCGGCAGCACAACCGAAAATCCCTCGCGGACCTCTGGGGCTGTCCCGGGGAAGACCAGCATGGCTGCGGCCCGCTGGGAGGACAGCGCGGCGTCGCCGTAAAGTATGGCAACGGGCGCGGCCGGCGAGGCCAAAGGCAAGGAGCGCGGGCGCGCGCGCCGAAGAAGGTGGGCCCACAAGCGGAGGGCAACCCTGGCCTGCGGCGGCCACTCGCCGGCGTGCTGGGCGGCCTCGACGTGTCCGAGAGCGTCGAACAGCGGCCAGCGGGCGTGCGCGCCCGCCTTCCCCTGCAGCCCGCGCGAGGCAAACACGAGCCTGCCGATGCACGAGGACGCCTGCCCCGCCTGCGGGCGGGAGCGCGCGACCTCCTCGCATTCCCGAGCAAGCGGCTCGCGCCGACAACTGCGGTTGCCGACTTCGGGGCCCTCCTTGCGGGAGGTAAACACCAAGCCAAGGAGGGGGAGCTGCGTCCCGTGTTCGCTCTTCGCCTCCTTCACATCGTACTCCAGGACCTGGAGGACCTCGCGGAGGACGAATCGAGCAGAAGACGCTGACCAGGGCGGCTCCCAGGTCCAATAATCATCAAAATAATTATCGGCATTGATGAAAAACCACCGGTACAGTATGTCGCGCAGACAACGAAACACGATGTTTGAATTCGCGACAGCACCTCCAGTACCAAAATCCTGTGACAGTAGATCCCTTCCTACCAGTTCGCGCCGTTGCGGGTCCCAGAAGAGCTGGACAACGCGCACCGCGGTGAGACCGCGGCCCACCTGGTGATACGCCTTCCGCAAATCATCTTTGCTGCCTACAGGCGGTTCGCCGAAGGCCAACTGCGAGGCCACCATCTGAGCGAGAATGACCTCGCTGTCCGAACAAACGATCCGCTCCGCAGGAGACCACGCGAGGTTGAAACAGCACCCCCCTGGGGAGTCCGAAGCATCAGCGCACGCCCGGATCTCCCAGGAGCAGCTCGGCACAGCGGCTCTGCCACACCGCGAATTTGCGGCAAAATACTACGTTCCGCCGGGGCCAGAACTAAATAATTCGAGCGGCCGGGCGGGTCCTAGAGAGCCCGTCTGTTCGGCCTCTGCCCCTTGCGCCCACAGCTCGCCGGCGTGCGGGTGGCTCCTCTGGACTCGTTGGACGAGTTCCTCGTTGCGGCCGCGGCTCTCCTCCAGAAGCCGGCTAACCGACCAGGCGGGCGGAGTCGGCGCTACTTGCGGGAAAATGCCGGACTCCTCGGCAACCCCGGTGTCGCGGAGCCCCTGGTGGAGGCACTGCAGAAAAGAAGCAGCAGGGGAGTCAAGGAGGCGGAGGAGGCGGAGGAGGAGGGAGGGCTTACGGGCAAAATGGGCAACTGCCGGGTCAACTTTTTTGCTGAGCTGAACCTGCGCGTCGTGCAGCTCGCGCTTCCACACTTTCAGCAGAGCCAACCTCCTCAGACGGATGTCGTTCACAGCCGTGCCAAAGCGGATTTGGCCGGCAATGGCGAAGGCTGTACCTTCCGCCACCGCCGGCGGCTGGTTTAAAGGGTGGGCGCCGCACCGCGCCGCGCCGAACGCAGCGTCCAAGTGCTCGCTGGGGCTGAGACCCCGCGACTGCACGGTATTATACACGTGGCGGGGTTGCACGGCGACAGCGGGGTCGCCCCGCCACCCGCGAACCGCGGTAAAGGCGACGCCCTCGCCGGGCAAAGCGCGCCCGGGGGCTGCCGGCACGAGAGCCAGCAAGTCTGCGTTCGAGCTCAAAGTCTTACATCTCATCGCGCCCAGCGGGGCACGAGGAGCAAGGGGCGAGGAGGCGGGGGCGGGGGCGGAGGCCAAGGGGGGGGGAGAGGGGGGGCGGGGCCTGATCGCTATTCAACTCTACATGCGACGCAGGGCGCGCACACAAAGAATCACTCGCGAGCTGGCAGCGGCCACCCAGTCCACCACCCAGCGGGGCGCCCGGAGCTGGGGGGGGGCAGGCAGGAGAGGAAGCAGGGAGAGGGGAAGGGGCCAAAGGAGCGGGCGAGCCCTGGTCTGCGGTCAACTGTAGATGCGGAACATCGCACCGACGCAAAGAATCACTAGCGACCAGGTCGCTGTCGCTGGGGCAGCGGCCCGGCGCGGCGCGGCAGCGGCCGCGCCCTCACTGCCACGGGCCCAGGTTGGCCTCTCACCGGCGAACCGGGGGCCCAGCGGGGCCTCCCCGCGCCCTCCGCGGAGGGGAGCGGGGGCGCTCGCGGCGCCGCTCCGGCTGGTCACGGCCCCTGTTGCCCGCGTCCCTGCGCGCGAGCTCCCGGCCGTTGGACTCCAGGTGCGACAGGAAGCAACGCATGGCGCTTGGGCCCACCGTGGGACAGAGTGGGCAACCGTGGCGGCACGCGCGCCGGTTGCCGCTTGCGCAGTTGCCGCCGAAGAGGAACCGCCGACAGGGGAAGGGCCCGGTCTGGCGCTCCCCTTGCCCCGCTGCTGCCCCGGCTGGCCCGGCCCAGGCTCCATCCCGACCTCGTTCTGGCACCGCGTCAGGAGAGACCAATCCATCTCCCCGAAGACACGGTAAACGTTTTCGCGCCCCTCGGCGCCCGTGCCCCCGCGTTTGCTGGCCGTGTACGCCTCCCGGAGGAGCCGCGTGGCGTAGAAGGCCGCCGCCTTCTCGGCCTGCGCCAGCGGGACGGCGCTGTCCGCTGCTGCCGCGGCAGCCTGGCCCACCCAGTTCAGGGCGTCGCCCCAGGAGGCGCGGCCCTGTAGAGCAGCGGCCCAGACGCGCGGCAACTCCTGGCACAAGGTCTGCGCCAGCGGGCGCTGGAGCCGGAGGGCGCCCTCCACCTTTGGCGAAGGCGTCTGCAGGAAGCGCCCCGACTTGCGCGCCGCAGCGGCGGCGCGCAAGGCGGACTCGTCCGGCTCGAGGCTGCGGAGGGGTTCGCCTTGGCCGGCGGTTTGCACCAGCTTCCTCAGCTGGTCGGCCGGGTCGTGCTCCTGCGTCAGCTCCTCCAGCGTTTTCGTGTCCCCCCTCAAGCCGGCCGCGACGACCTGTCCGAGGAAGATGTTGCTCGCCGCCGAGCCCTGCATGGGGGAAGCGCCAATCCAGTCCCCGGGCGGACGGTCGGCGGGAACTCCTGGCTCGGGCTGCGGCCCTGGGGCGACCGGGTGGCCGAGAGCCCCCAGAAGCTCTTGAACCGTCGCCCGCTCGCGGGGGCCCAGGCTGGAGGGGCGCGCCTTGAGGAACGCGCTGGCGCCCATGATGCGGACATCCTTGACCAGTTCCTTGGCGTCGTCCTCCGTGTAGCCGGCCTTCTGGAGGCCGGACACCAGCTGCTGCCAACGCCCCTCGGCAGCGAGCTCCGTCGGCAGCGTGGCCCTCAACAACGTGAGCGTGGCTGGCACTGCTTCGCCAGCGCCCGCGGCCAGCACCTGGGCGACACGAGCACCACCCGCTCCTCCTGCAACTCCGGACCCAGGTGCTGGTGGCGCTCCGGCACCTTCCGCCATGGGTGTGGGACAATGGGGAGGTAAAAAGGCAAGATTGGAAAGTAAGATTGGGAAGTAAGACTCCGAAACAAGCGGCCCCCCCTGATCCGAAACTGCTGCAGCTGCACAGGGAAGGGGGGAAGAGGCAGAGGGCTGGAAGACAGCACACGCATGGGGCAAGCAGTGCTAACTTTGCTTCACCTTCGTGAATCAGCGTTTATGTTCATGTTTTTCTTTCGTCCTGTTTGAACTGGCGGTGAGCGCGGGAGCGGAAGTGAGAAGGGGCGGGCCTTCTCTGAAGGCTCGGAAGTCCCCCGGCCTTCTAAGAAGTTTCCTGAGCCGTCCCTCTGGAGACGCAGAAGGCTTCTCAAAGGCGCAAGGGCTTCTGAGAAGTCCGGCCTCTGAGAAGGCCTTCTCCTTCTCACTTCCCCCCCTCGCTCGCCGCCGATGACTGCTCCTTCACCCCACCTCCCTCCTCTGTCATCCATCCATCCCCCCAGGCTCATGCGTGCGACGTACCATACACTCCGTGGGCGGGCGGCTGGTGGGGATTTCGGGCCGGCGCAGAGGAAAGCGGACAACAGGGCGTCGCCACAAAAGAGGTGGAGAGTCAGTCGATACTGGCGGCGCACGCGGAATGGGAAAGGAAGGGCGGGACCGTCGGCTGTCTGCGCCACCCCTCCTCCCTCCTCCTCCTCCTCCTCCTCCTCCTCCTCCTCCTCCTCCTCCTCCCTCCTCTCCTCCTCCTCCTCCTCCTCCTCCTCCTCCTCCTCCTCCTCCTCCTCCTCCTCCTCCCTCCTCCTCCTCCTCCTCCTCCCTCCTCCAGCGCCGCTCCGCGCACTTCGCGCATCGCGCCCCGCGCCACCCCCTTGGAGAGGGCAGCCGCTTCAGCCCGGGCCGCGGCGTGCGAAGCGTGAGTAGCTTCGCGTCCCCAGGGGGCGACCTAGAATGCTGGCGGCGCACGTGGGGTGAAGGAGGAGAGGCGGAGCCATCAGCCATCGATGGGACGACACAGAAGCAATCGGAGATCGCACTGACTCTTAGCGGTCGAAAAAAAACGCATTCTCACGCGAAGGCTTGCGCATTCAAAAGCGCGCGCCTCCGGAGCGCCTCCTGCTCCACAGAGCGCGGCGAGAATGAATAGAGCATCGCCTGACCTCTGTCCGCCGCTCTCTTTGCCAATGTGCGCTGCTTGCGTGATGGGGTGGCGGGCGTCTGCATGTGGGGAACGGCTGCTCATGGCCGCCCGCGTGGTGCCATGGGGAGAGCGGGGGAGGAGGGGCAAAAGAAGATGCAGCAGAGGCATGTTGAGCAAGAGAGGAGGAGCGAGCGGAAATGGGATGGGGCCCGCCAGAGAGAGGGGGGGGGGCAACTGCGAGCCTCTCCCCGCGCCCACGTGGCCCGCCAGACCGACCCCAGCATAACCAAAATTACGGGTTACGGGTCACGTGATGCCCGAGACCGCGCCTGGCTGGTGCCGCAAGGATACGTAATAATGTCTGCTAGACTCGCAGAAAGGGAGGGGGGGGGAACTCTCGACTCCACGTGGGAAGGTGCCCTCGCCACCACACCCGCAGAGAACTGGCCGCGAAGCGGGGAGCAACAAGGGAAGTACTTGAAGGTCGGTGTGCGTCGGCGGGACCGTGATACGATCAACCATAAGAACAACATGTGTGAGGGAACCCCACAAGACTTGATCTTCCGCGTGCAACAGCCACGGGCCCGTCGTGGACACGTGCGCCAAAAAGATCTGCCGATCTGTCGCCGCAAGGGACATCGTCCGTGCTGTGTTTGTCGCAGCGGCGCCCATGTTGGACCAGCGGCCACTGCTTTGCCGACCGCGGAGGGATGCAAAGGTAGCCTTGGCGAGCGCGCTCCATCCACGCTACAGGGCAGTTGTTAATACATAGAATTTTGAAACATATAGGATTTGTAATACATGATTAATGTATGAATCAATCTATGCATGAACTCATCGTTTTTAATGCTAAACCCTGCATCTTTAATACATGATCCGCACGCGGAGCATGTATTAAAAACGGCACCGTACCGTGGCTGACACGTGGGAGCGGCGAGGATGAAGAGGAGGAGGAGGAGGAGGAGGAGGAGGAGGAAGAGAAGGAGGAGCAGGAGGGGGAGGGGGAGGGGGAAGTGGGGGGTGGGAGGGGGGGGCCGACACGCAGGAGCGGCGAGAACGAAGCTTGCCAGCTGCGCACTCCTCGGACCCCTCCAGGGGGCGCGCTCTGCCCAGAACTCCGGAAGCGAGTCCCGCGGCGGCGGCAAGAGCTTCCCGGGAGGCCCAAAGGGCGAAGCGGAAGGGTGGCGGTTACCCAGGAGACTTCGTGCGCGGTTGCTTCGACTTCGTGCACGGTTGCTTCGCAGGATGACCCAGAATGCTCCTTTCGATAATCCCCGCCGAGAAAAGGTGCACACGTCCGAGCGATACCAAGGTACCACTTCCTCCTCTGATTGTCCTCGTCCAATTTTTGGACGCCCGAAATGGGCACGGAAAGAATGGGTCCAATGCCCAACAACAGATGTTGTCCCAAACCAACAGCGGCCGCTGTTGGGCAGGCGGCCCTCTGTCTCAGATGGACACAGGCCGCGGCGACACCGACAGCGAGCCCTGCTCAAAATGAACAGGAACTGCTGTTGGGCATCGTACCCATTCCTCGCCATCGCTCGGACGTCCATTCCCTGTGTTTTTTTCGGTTTCGTGCGTGGCTTTTCCGCCAAATGACCAAGGATGCTCCTCGATGGCCCGCGCCGAAGGAGAAATGCACACGTCCGAGCGATGCCAGGATTCTTTCCGTGCCCATTTCGGGCGTCCAGATCTGATCGTCGTCGTCCAGTTGGCTCCGGGAGGATCGGGTCGGGCGAAAGGGGGGGATAACAAAGGGGGGGTTTGAGAATCACCTCACGTAGCTGTTTTTCCCGGCGCCTCCCGGCACCGGAGGCGGCTATGTATCGAGGAATGGGCCCCTCGGCGAGGCCGAAACCAGCTGCATGCAGCAAATTTCGTACCCCCCCCTTTCCCAATCCCCCCCTTTCGTCCGGTCCGATAACAACCGGGTCCCTTACCTGGGGTCCTGGCTATACTTAAGTCGGGCGTGTCCCCCTACAGGGGGATTTTCGACGAAAAATTTGGAATACCCCAAAAATGACCAAAAAATAATCCAAAAATAGTCTGGGGACTAGGTTTTTTATACTATTTGTTGACCTTTTCTGGGGTATTCTTGGGTATTTTCTTGGTCTTTCGCCCGGCCCGGGAGGAGACGGGCCGGCGAACGAGCAGCGAACGCGCGTGGCGG